TCATGCTTGCTGGCAAGTGCCCCTGCCTGCTGATCCGTCTCACTCATTGGTCCTGGTTTCTGAGGAATTTTGTGTTTACTCTAAAGCCCAAGCTGGTCCTGCTGTCTTCAGACAGGGCAGGAAAATGAAACTCCACCCTGCCCCAGCCTTCTGGTTCTGTAGGCAGGATCACAGCACCTACTCAGAGAAAATACCCTTGATGTGGTGCGCTCGCTCTCTCTCTCCCCCTCCCCCCCTCTCCTTTTTTCCCTTCTGTTTTGTTTTCTTAGGACAGGGTCTCATTCTGTTGCCCTGGAATTACAAATGTGAGCCACCTCTTTTTCTTCTGAGGATTTAGGAGAGCAAATTGTGTCATTTTTCAGTTCTTCCATGGATCAGCACAAATCTCAAACAAGATTTGCAAAGGCAGAGTTTAGGAAAGAAATGACAGGGGCTGGAGCGATGGTTCCACAGCTGAGAGTGTTGCTCTTGCAGAGCACCTAGAGCTCAGTTCCAGAACTTAGAATGGGTGGCTCAGACCACCTTCACCCTGGCTCCCAGGGATCCAGCACCCTCTTCTGGCTGTTAGCACCTACTGCGCTCCTGTCGTGCCTGCCCAAGCACGAGGGTTCTTCATACTCATGAATGTTGGAGGCATATGTTGTCTTTTGGGGGAAAATATCCTCTGGAGTGTGCTGGTGCTTGCTGTGTGGTTTATGCTGACTGTCCTCACTTGTGATGGTGCTTTCAGTGGTGTGGCGTAGCTTTTGGAAGGACTGCAGGCGCTGTCATCCACTTATGGGAGATCTGCTTCCTGAGACCTCCTCTTCCATGCGGAGGCTCCCTGTGCTCAGGGAGTGTGCAGTCATGCTTTCTTCAAATCCGCTGAGATGCTTTGGGCTGTTTCCACCTGTACAGAATGTGGGGCACACACAGCACTTAGACCTCCCTTCTTCCAGGAGAATCTAGTTGACCTTGTCCTGAAAAGGAAGCCCTCCCTCGTTGTCCTGAACTGACAAATTCACTGACACTGCTGTCACTGCAGAGGCCATGCAGAAGGGGTTTCCAGTCCTGGGTGAACGTCTTCCCTACTAGCTGCTCTGCTTCTTGGGGTGTCTCCTGCATGCTGCCTTTTAAATAGCTGTTAGGAGGTCTAATGAAGCAAATGTCTGGAGACCAATGTTTATTTCAACATGGTTGCAGTTGCTTTTGCTTCAGCTTTCAGAGCCAATAAAGCTGGTTATTAGATTCTGTAATTGCTGCTGTAATTACTCTCTTGGAACTGGCAAAGGCGTAATTAAATATGGAGATTTCACAGACTTTTTCTCATCTAAAAACAACCTCTTAAACTTCAGTTAGCAGGGTTAAATTTCTGCTGTGCAAGCCAGTGTGTTTACAAATGACACAGAGTTCTGTGACTGAAGCTGGGTTTCTTTGGATTCTTCCTCTTTGAAGAACAGCTAGCTGTTCTTAGCCTCGAAGCTGTTTCTTTAATATAACCATCCTGAATTTGGGACGGTTGGCAAGTCCTTACAGGCCAGTTTGCATTTATTTATGTAAATACTGGGTTTGGGCTCTGTGGACTTTGGCCACTTAGGAAAACAAGTCTGGTGGGATGTGTGGTTAGAGCTGGGTATGGTGGCTCATACCTATAATCCTAGCACCTGGGAGGCTGAGGCAGGGTGATTGCTCAGAGTTCAGGGCCAGCCTGGCTTATACAGTGATTTCCAAGCCAGCCTGAGCTATAGTGTAAGAAAGGCCTTGCCTCAAACTCCCCACCCCCAGTGGACATCCAGGTGGGAAGAAAGGGAGTTTTACTTGGAAGTGTTCAGAAAGGAGTGTATCACTTGGCCCGTGGGAGCACCTGCTTCCCCTAAGTTATCCTCCAGCACAGGGCCCCGCGTTTGTAAGGTACAGGAAGTGAAGGGCTGTGATAGTTGTGTACACGTACCTTCCTGGAGGCCAGGTGCTGACCAAACAGCACTTTCAGGGTTACTGTTCTTGTGAAGCAGATTTTAGGGGTTTCTCAGAGTGTACTGCTTCTTTTTGTTTGTTGTGTTTTGATTTTTGTTGTTGTTGTTGTTTGTTTGTTTTTTGTTTTGAGACAAGGTTTCTCTGTGTAGTTTTCAAGCCTGTCCTGGAACTTGTTCTATAGACCAGGCTGGCTTCAAACACACAGAGGTCTGCCTGCCTCTGCCCCCCAAATGCTGGGATTAAAGGTGTGTGCCATCCTCTCCCCACACCCCAGCTGTACCCTTTCTTTTTGGATATGTCAGGTAGTTGAATAATACAGGTTACAGGACTGAAGAGATTGGTCATTGGTTAGGAACACTGACTGCTCTTTCAGAGGACCTGGGTTCAATTCCCAGCACCCACATGGCAGCTCACAACTGCCTATAACTCCAGTTCCAGGGAATCTGACACCAATGGCAAAACACCAATGTACATAAAATAAAAATAAATTAAAAAAGAAAAATATGGGGCTGGAGAGATGGCTCAGTGGTTAAGAGCATTGCCTGCTCTTCCAAAGGTCCTGAGTTCAATTCCCAGCAACCACATGGTGGCTCACAACCATCTGAAATGAGATCTGGTGCCCTCTTCTGGCCTTCAGGCATACATGCAGAAAGAATACTGTATACATAATAAATAAATAAATAAATATAAAAAAAAGAAAGAAAAATATGATATGAAGTAGGAGGGGGAAAAAAAATTCGTAGTCCCTGTCAGGCACAAGCCTGGGAAATCCACTGCTTTCTGGGATGAACTTTATAAGCCAGCAGCAGGAGGGTGACTGTGGAGACAGGGTATATTCTGGGGACCTTCTCCTAGCTTCTGCATGCTTACCTTACAGTGAGGGGCTTGCAAAAGATGCTATTGTATGAACCAAGAAAAAGGCAAGGAGAGCTGTGCCTTATCTGAAGACTCCTACATAGAATATATGCTCCTTCAGTTACACGGATAAGCTCATTGTAAATGAACAGTGTAATTAAATAAGAAATGCGTCTATACCTTACATATCTGCCCTAAGTTGCTAGGACAGGAACATTTGTGTATGAAGACACATGGAGTCAGAGAATGAACTTGGCATGTGTTAACTGGCTGCAGACCTGTCCGATGTGTTAGGTGTTGGTCTGCACGATGGATAGTAGCTGGCTTTTCGTCTACTGGAGCGTGAGTCCTTGCTTCCCTGGTGTAGTGGCATTTACTTCCAAGGCATTTGTTCTTGGAGGCTTTTATTTTTGTTTATGTACATACACACACACACACACATATACTTTAACATATATATTGTGTGTATGTATGTGTGTGTATATATATGTAAAACAAAATATGTAATTCATTTTTTTCTCTCTCTTTTTTTTTTTTTTTTTTTTTTTTTTTTTGGTTTTTCGAGACAGGGTTTCTCTGTGGTTTTGGAGCCTGACCTGGAACTAGCTCTGTATTCCAGGCTGGTCTCGAACTCACAGAGATCCGCCTGCCTCTGCCTCCCGAGTGCTGGGATTAAAGGCGTGCGCCACCACGGCCCGGCTTTTCTCTTGTTTTTTGAGACAGGGTCACTCTGTATAGCCCTGGCTGGCCTTGAACTTGGAGATCTGTCTGCCTCTGAAAGGCATGCACTATCATCACCCAGTATATTTATATATTATTTAGAATTTATTTGGTTGATTGGTTTTGAGACAGGACCTCATAGTGTCGCTCTAGTTGGTTTGGAACTCTCTGTGGAACAGGCTGGCCTTGAACTTGTAGAGATCCGCCTGCCTCTGCCTCCCAAGTGCAAGGGGTTAAAGTAGTGGGCCACCATGCCTGGGATTTGGGGGATTTCAGAAGTAGAGGTTGATATCAGGGAATTCAGGATTTGGCATACAAGGGGTTACTGCTAACCAGAACAATTCATTAGAGAAAATGATAATGTGGTTCTAATATGTCAGTAGGGGATAATAACTTTAGTTTTAGCCAGGTGGTGATTGTGACCTGCGGCTTGCGTGGATGGCACTGATGCACACCTCCTGGATGAGGGAGCGTGCGTGCACTTCCCTGACCAGCCCAGTCCAGTCCAGCCCAGCTGCTCTTCTACCTTTCTGAGACTGTAAGGGGAAGGAGCCTGCATTTGAGCAGGGAGATGTAGTTTGGTCCTAGCTTTGCCACAGATTCATCTTCTTGAAATGCTGGCCTTGATTGGCCTTCAGACAAAATGATCTCTCTCCACACAGGCTGAAAGCTAACAGAGCAAATGCCATTGATTTTGACCACATGGTTAAGCTCCAAATTTGTTCATGCCAGGAGCCCCGTCTTCAGTTGTGTTTATGTGTTTTCTGTTACAGAGAATGCTGCACTAGTCATCACTAGGCATGGGGCTTTCTTTCTGGTTTTATTCAGTTAATTTCCAGACAGAAATCCCTGGCTCAGAGAGCCAGAAGCATCTTTGTGCTGTGCTCCATTCCCACTGTGTTTCAGAGCATAACAGTTTGAGAGCTGTTGGCTTTTTGTGACATCGCGTTTTAACCAAACTGGTCTAGTACTTGTTACAGTCATTTATTATTTTTGTCATTTAGTTGGTGTGAAATGGTATCGTAATGGTGCTTTATAATATTAGAGCCAGCAGGGTTTTTTTTCGGTGTGCTATCTGCTTTGCTAATGTGCTAGGCTGCTCTGTTTGTTAGCCCATTTGCTCCTCGCAGTGAACCTAGCAGGGAAGCTGAGCCACTCACCTGTGTCTGCGAGCCTGTGTCTGTGTGTGACCCCAGAATGCATCCTTGCTCTGAGAGCCTGTCCATACTTTGATTTTCGCAGCAGATGTGGTTGCCAGACTGTGTTCGCGTGCTTCTTCCCTGTCTGCATCGTGAGGTGTGCAAACTTTAGTGTTTTCTTAGAAAACTGAATGTGCTCCCGGGAGAGGATGCTGTTAGCCCTCTTACAGAGGAGGCAGCAGCTGGGGTGCATGCAGTGCATTTGGGAGAAGGGCTCAGTGTCCTCTCATCGTGCCATGCCAGACACGCTCAAGGCTTCTTTCTTCCCTCCAGCGGCCCTGCAGGCTCTGAAGCGCAAGAAGAGGTATGAGAAGCAGCTGACACAGATCGATGGCACCCTGTCCACCATCGAGTTCCAGCGGGAGGCCCTGGAGAATGCCAACACCAACACAGAGGTGCTCAAGAACATGAGCTTTGCTGCCAAGGCCATGAAGACTGCCCACAACAACATGTGCGTGCCACTGCTGGGCAGGGACATCTGGAGGGAGGGTGCTACTCAGGCTGTGACTTTATTGTGGTTGGCTCCCTCTTTGGATTCTGAGTGAATTGTGTCTTGATGTCTTTGTTTCCACAAGCGCTCAGGGATGGAAAGAGAAACTGTTTTATTGCTGTTGTTTTGCCTGGTTCTAGGTTGTTGTGACAGGCTTAGTTCCAAATTGGGACAATCCTTGGAGGTCTTCTCAGCTGCCACCGTTTATCAGACTGTCCAGGAGATGGCTGTTGCCTGTGCAGAGTGGGCATGGGATTGGGCCCTAGCATATTTGCATCCTCCCAGGGCTTTGAGGGACCTTTCTGCCTCTCCCTGCCCTCAGGCTATGGCTGCCCTCTGCGCTGCCATCAGCAGTCATTCCTTTCCATGTTCTAGCTTGGGTTGGCAGAATGCTTGCTGCCTGTGGCCTGCGTTGTATATAGCAGCCATGGTCTTCATTTGCATACTGTCTGGAGCTGTTCTGTTGAGTGTTTAATAATCTATAAACTACATTAAAATGTTTATTAGTGGCCTGGAGAAGTTTGTTGCTGTTTGCTCTAGAGACAAGAGGTGTAGGGCATTGCCCTCACATACATGAGGTGTGCTGTTGAGGCAAAGGCCGTCTCCCTTTACATCTGTGCTCCTGGACAGTTAGCACAGTGGGTAGATAGTAGGTAGTGTGTGTTCTGTAGTGCACAGACCATCCTGAACAACCATGTGACATGCAGTGTATAAAGCACACACATTTGCTTTCCTTTGGGCCCTCAGAAATGTTTGAGTAGGGAAGAGCCAAACTATGTTTTGTGCTCTGTGATTTTTACCTCCTCCTGCTTTGATTTGCTCTGGGGCTTGAAGAAGAGTTAAAGTCCTGTGCTCTCAGATCTGTTTACATATCTGGGGTTGGGGTGGGGGGTTCTATACTTCACCCGGTGCTAAGCCTGTTTTCCTTCCGTGCTGGACTAAGGGGTGTCGAGGACTCCATCTGCTTGATTCTGTGATTTCCAGTTTCACATTTATTCTGAGTGTGTGCCCACGCCTGTGTGGATGTGATTGTCAGAGATAACTTTTGGGGAGTCAGTTCTTTCCTTCCACCTTTATGTGGGTTCTGGGGCAAGAACTCTAGTCCCCAGCCTTGCACAACACGCACATAACTGGCTGAGTTCTCGCCAGCTTATGATTCTCAGCTTTGCTGGGATGGAGGAAGAGGAGGAAGGCCATGAGGAGGGTCACTGGGTGCTGAGAAGCAGATGCTGTGCAGCAGGGCTTCTGTTGCAAGCTCAGACCAGTCTATGCTAATGTGATAATCCGTCGTTTCATTTCAGGGACATTGATGAGGTGGACGAGTTGATGCAGGACATTGCTGACCAGCAGGAACTTGCAGAGGAGATTTCCACAGCTATTTCCAAACCTGTAGGCTTTGGGGAGGAGTTTGACGAGGTAAGTGGTTTTTTGAAGATCACATGAGTCTCTCAGGTGACAAACTTCAGGCTCAGATGTCAACATAGTATGTCAATGCCAGGTGTGTGCACCTCCTTAGAGTCTGGAGTCTGGGTTTTTTTGTTTGTTTGTTTGGGTGGTTGTTTTTTTTTTTTTTGAGACAGAATTTCTCAGTGTAACAGTCCTGGCTGTCCTGGAACTCACTCTCTAGACCAGGTTGGCCTTGAACTCATAGAGATCTGCCTGCCTCTGCCTCCCAAGTGATGGGATTAAAGGTATGTGCTCCCACCGCCTGGGTTTTTTTTTTTTTTTTTATGCTTGGCATAGTGGCACATGCCTTTAATCCCAAAACTTAAAAGGCAGAAGCTAACCTGTCTATGTAGAGAGTTCCAGGACATCCAGAGTGGCAGTGAGACCCTGTCTCAAAAAAGAAGAAAAAGAAAACATAATTTTGATTTTATGCTTAAGGGTATTTTGCCTACATGTATATCTGTGCACCCCTTGCATGCCTTGTTCCCCTGGAGGCCAGAAGAGGCTGTGTGCACTCACTTGGTAGGTAGCAACTGTCTATAACTCCAGTTCTAGGAGACCTGATGTTCTCTGTTGGGGGCACTGCGTGCACATGGTACACAGACAGAAATGCAGGGAAAACACCCATACACTTAAAGTAAATCTCAAAAACAAAAGAAAACAAAAAAGGAATGGTGCTGGGTTGGTGGTGCAGACTTGTAACCTAGTAACTCAGGAGTTTGGGGCTCAAAATTTCAAAAGATAAAAGTCTGGTTATGTAGCTCGGTGGGAGAGCACTTGCCTAGCATGTGCATGGTCTTGGGTTCAGGTTCCCTATTTCCCCCTGCAAAGGAAAGAAAGGATACAGTCCCTCCTCCCAAGAAGCCCACAGGCAGCTGGACAGTGGTGGCGCACGCCTTCAATTCCAGCACTTGGGAGGCAGAGGTAGGCGGATCTCTGTGAGTTCGAGACCAGCCTGGTCTACAAGAGCTAGTTCCAGTACAGGCTCCAAAGCCACAGAGAAACCCTGTCTCGAAAAACAAAAGCAAAAAAAGAAGAGAGAGAGAGAGAGAGGCTAAACTCCGGATGCATACCTGCACCAGTGGCCTCTTCAGAAGGTTCGCTGGGCATCAAGGGGAGGAATGTCTGCAGAGAGGGTCTCACCATGCTTCCTTTTGCAGGACGAACTCTTGAAGGAGTTGGAGAAACTTGAACAGGAGGAGCTAGACAAGAATTTGCTGGAGATCAGTGGTCCCGAAACAGTCCCGCTACCAAATGTCCCCTCTGTGGCCCTACCATCCAAACCCGGTGAGTATGCCCACAGTCGGGACACACTCGGCACCATAAGGGGATGATCTCATGGTCAGTTGACTTCAGCTTGGGTTCTAAGCCAGAGAGGATGTGTTGTGCTGACCACGATGCCAGTGTCATTTGCGGAACAGGATTTCCTAACCTCAGCACTGCTATGTAGCCAGAGAGTTCCAGGCTAGCACCGCTGACTTCTCCTCTGCACACAGTTGTATGACTACAATGTCTCCAGACATTGCTACATGTCCCTTGTGGGGTTGGGAGTGGGAATTAAGAGCCTCTGTTCTGTTCTAGAGGGATTTTTCTTATCACCAAATAAGGGAAAGTTCTAGGCACTGTGCAGGGAGGGGCGTGAGAACTTAAGTCTGGCTCCGTCTAGGACCCTGTGCTATGTACTCTCAGGAAGGAACCGGCTCTGGCTAGTTTAGAGACCTGCTTTGTAAACTATCATTTCCTTGCCTTCATTTTCTCCCTCTTACTCTCCTGAGTACTCCACACAGAGCTCCTAGAAAGGCAAAACTGCCTGCCTGGAGTGGAGACAAGGGCCTGCCAGCAGGGTGTGAACAGGGTGTGACTGTCTCCCTCTGCTCCTCTGCTAGTCAGCTCAGCGGCTATCAGGCAGCCTAGCAAAGCATGGCTCCAGCAACTCCAAATGGAGTCGATTTGACCAGGAGTGCAATCTCTTTGGAGGGATGATCTTGCCCCTCTCCCTAACCCTGGGGAGCCTCATGTAAACAGCCCCTCCTGGTGTGGCTATCCCTGCCGAGGGCTGAGGGGAGTTAGGGCAGAAGGTGTGCCTGGTTTCCTGAATTTGGATGCAGCTTGTGGGCACGAAGGAGGAGTATGCTGTAGGCCTCAGCCAGCTGCAGGACAGAGCTGTGTGCCTACACAGTGGAGCACAGCCCCAGCTCCCAGTCAGCCTTCAGAAACCACCTTTTCTGTCTCCACACAGTCAAGAAGAAGGAGGAGGAAGACGACGACATGAAGGAATTGGAGAACTGGGCCGGATCCATGTAACTGGTCCAGCATAGGCTGGGCCCAGACAGACTCTGGTGGCCTGTGCGAAGGGCAGGCAGGACGCGGTGCAGGCAACCTCCATCGCTCGATCTCACCCAAAGCAGTAGGCCGCATCACTGCTCACTCTCGCATAGCATGGTCTGTGCCCAGGGGCGGGCGGGGGGAGGGGCGGGCGGGAGGGAGGTGCCTGCTGTTGAATTTCTGTAAAATAAACTGTATTTGCAAATCCAACATTGAGCTTCTGGACTACGCTAACTCCACACTCCACTGCTGAATCCTCCATGGAAAGGGTCGGCCACTTGCAGTTGAAATGATCCGGAAATGTAGCCCGTGTCCTTTAAGTCAGCTGACTTGTCGCACATCTCTGTAAGACGTGTACGGTACTGGCAGAAAAGTCGTTTTTAAAGCCATAGATGGGCTTTTCCTTGTCCTTAGCTGTAATAGCACATCTGGTTTTGGTTTCCCCAAGAGCTGTGTTTCTGTGTATCACCCATGTACTGGCCCCCATGTTTACCACCCTGGCCCTTGTCACTCCTATCCCCTGGTCATTTGGAGTTGTGACTCGGATCTGAAATGGATGTATTCTCTCTTGAGCAAATAAGATTGTCAGAATTAAATTCCAGCTATTCAGTTTTCTAACATAGCTCTAAGGTCTTCATTGCTGTTTGTGATAATTGATAGATAACTCATTGGAAACATGTGCATACATTTATATTCAGATGAAATTATGGTTTGCACTGTCTATTAAATATCTCGATTTAATTTTCACACTTGCTGTCGTGTCCAGTCAATCCCCCCCCTCCCCGCGCCAGCCCTGGTCCCCGGGGTCACGGGAAGCATGAGGAGCTTGCAGAGAGAGAGCAGCTTTCTTCTTACTAGAAACCTTGAGCTCTCGCTGAGAGCTGTGCGGTGCCCCTGTTAGCCTGGAGACCTCTGTGTCCACTCTCAGTGAGTTGGTTCTTGTGCAGCCCCAGAATCTTCCCTTTTTGCCTGCCAGCACCTAGGGCAGTGCCTGTGGGAGCCTCTGCCTGGTGGAAACCATGGTGCCCAGCCAGGTGGTGCCTTCCCATAGTAGGGAAGTGTATCTATCGGGTGGTGACTGAGGGTACAAGTACTCCTTCCACTCTGCCCGTTTCTTTATTCTTGTACCCTCTTTAGAGACCCTCTCCTCCAGCCAAGCAGATCTCCACAGTTGTCCCTCCTGCGTGTGCTCTAGGATTGAAGTCACCTCCACTTCCCTAGCTTCTCAACTCCCTGAGATGAAAACCAATCCGAGTCCACAGTGGGATATTGTCACGCCCCCAGTGTGCGCAGAACAAGCTGCTTATGTCCCTGTCTTACACACTAATCTATTTGCTGTGAAGACACACATGGCGACTTTTAACCATTTGACTGGGGGCTTGCTTACAGTTTCATAGGGTGCGTCCACGGCCATCATGGCGGGGAGCGTGGCAGCAGGCAGGCACTGTGCTGGAGCAGTAGCTGAGAGCTTACATCTTATCCACAAGTTGGAGGCAGAGAGAGACTGGGCCTGGCATGGGCTTTTAAAACCTCAGGACCCACCCCCAATGGCTCACCTCCTCCAAGGCCACACTCCCTAAGCTTTCCTCAGACAGTTCCACCAACTAGGGGCCAAGCATTCAAACATATGAGCTGACGTGGGCTGTTCTCATCAAATCCCACAGTTCCCTAGATCTCATGTTCTCCGTTGCCCCCCTCCCATGGTTGCCACACTCAGAATTGGGACTTGATGACTGGGTTAAGAATTGGGAGGGATTAGGTTTGGCTAATGTCACAAGTTATGTGTGCCTCATGAAGACTTAATGGTAGCGCCCGCCAGGGCCCCTCTGTTTGCCAACAGTAGTTGGCTCCTAGGCATCCTTTGGTGTGGGAATGCCAGCGTGGCCTGTCTTGAGTCTTACCAACTGCCTTGGACTTCTCTCCCTAGGACTGAGTAGAGCTTCCAGATCCCCTCAGCTCTGACAGGCACAGAGACCAGTCCTGGGCAGTGTCTCGGCTCATTTCTACAAAACATGTATCTTGTGCCTAGATCTGTGGGGCACAGGGCTCGCCAATGCCCAAACACTTTTCTGTCCTTAGGAAGTTCTCAGGCCTGGTGAGACATGACCATGCTGAATTCTTTGGATACAAGCAACATTTGACTTACAACATACAGACATGGCACTCACTTATTCTAAGTTTATTCAAGTATTTTTTGAGCACCTACTTACTGTGTGCAGGCCCTAGGAGTATATGCTCAACAGGTGTTTGCGGGCTGCTCTCAGGACGGGAAGTCTCAGTGGCAAGTGTTGGAGTTCTGGGTTTGAAGCTGAGGCTCAACCACATTCTCAAGAGCAAAGCTCTATGCGGTGTGATGATACACAGCTAATTCCAGTACCAGGGAGGCTGAAGTTGGAAGGATCACAAGTTCAAGGCTAACTTATTATATGTGGTAGTGAGACTGTCTCAGAACCAAAACAGCCAGGTGTGGTATACTCAGAGTACAGGCATGAAGGATCTCTATGAGTTCAAGGCCAGCCTGATCTATATAGGTAGTTCCAGGATAGGCAGGGCTGCATAGAGAGACTGACCCTGTCTAAAAAGAAACAACACAAATGCTTTGCCTCCTGCTCTGCCTACGTACGTGGGCTGTTTCCTTAGACTGCTACCTCCGGTCCATGAGCTGCCCCGGGTCACACCCCACTCACAGGGCAAACAATGGAGGATCAGCATCTGACCTGGCTTTCACGTCTTCCTATGTTATCAAATCCCATAAGATTACACACAGACTATTTCTATGACTCCTGGGTCATGCCTATTACATGGCTGGTTCCTACTGCAAGGGAGTCTGGGAGATGTGATGTATACAACAGAGACCACTAGGATTCCCCCCTAAGGCTGGAGATGGACTTTCTGGTCCCCAAGTATCTTACTGTCTGCCCCTTCAAAACCTAGACAAGCTGACGCGGAGTGGCTCATGTCTTATCTCAGCCCTGGAAGGCAGAGACGGGTGGATTTCTGAGTTCAAAGCCAGCCTGCCTGGTCTATGTAGACAAAACTGGGCTTCTGTTACCAGGAAGAAGCGGCTGGTTGCCAAGCAGGTGGTAGCAGCAGGGTCTCCCACGGAGACAGCAAAAGTCAGCCACACAGCTAGTATGGACTTAAAATGTTTTAAAGGTCCATACATATGTGTGTGTGTGTGTGTGTGTGTGTGTGTGTGTGTGTGTGTGTGTTGCTTACATGTATGTCTATACATCATGTGTGCCAAGTGCCTGAGACGGCAAAGGAGGGTGTCAGAGTCCCTGGAACTGGAGTTACAGAAGGTTTTGGGCTACAGGTGAGTGCTGGGAATCAAACCTGGGTCGTCTGCAGCCACTACTGTCTTCCCAGCCTGTAAAAGCAGATGGAATCAGACACTCACAAATCCCAAAGTCACCTCCAGATTCTCTTCCTAAAAAGCCTCAGAATAGCTGAGCATTTAATCTTATGAGGCATAGGTGGAGGATGTCAGTTGGAAGCCAGGCCACCCTTGTCTACAGGGTTCCAGACCAGCCAGGGCTGCAGAGTGAGACCCTGTCAAAAACAAAAAAGTCCCAGAACAGGGTGGGGATCTGAGACTTCACTTCAGCAAAGTTTTTGGTAACTCTCGGGGCCTACACTTAGAGTCAGCAGGCTTAAATCCTCAGAAAAGCATTTGTGGCTACTCCGTGACCTGGCTCCATGTTCAGAGATCCTAGCCACGGTTACCCAGAATTCCTGGAATGGGAGTTCTAGTATGCCCTTGGCCTTGGCCTCCCACTCCTGGGCACAGCCCTCTTCTCTCCCTTGCCCCTCCCTCTGGGGGGTGTGTGAGTGTGGGTGTGTGGGTGTGAGTGTGGGTGTGTGGGTGCGCGTTTGTGCTGAGATCAAAACTCAGCACTTTGTCCACTACAAGTCCAACCCTACAAATACATTTTTGTTGTTATTTTTGTTTTATTTTTTCGAGACAAGGTTTCTCTGTGTAGCCCTGGCTGTTCTGGGAACTTGCTCTGTAGGCCAGGCTGGCCTTGAACTCAGAGATCTTCCTGCCTCTGTCTCAAGTACTGGGATCAAAGGTGTGCATCACCACCACACATACAAATGTTTGTTGAATGTCTCTCTGCATTCTCTTATAAACCTGGTTTGCTAGGTGTTTCGTTTAATCTTAATAGAAGCCACTCTGCTGGTGCAAAGAACTCCACTCAAACCAGAATTGACCAAATTAAAATGCCTGTGTTTAATAAATGCAGCACTCTCTGGTGGACCGAGACAGCATGGTAGGAAGAAAAACATGCAAACTGGAAACCATGTGTTCCTTTTTCCAGTGTGAGCGGAAATAGCCGTGGGAGTGGTCCTGACCCTCCCCTGGGGAGGTGTCAGCACTTGGCTGGCTGGGAGTTGGAGTCTAGACCGAGGCAACTCCCAGGCCAGGGGCTTCCAATCATCCCAGACTTCTTGGATACAGGGGTGTTAGAGGGTTGGGATGATGCCCCCCAACTTAATATTAGGAAGTTGAGAAAGATCATTGCAAGTGAACACACTGAGAGAACCCACCCACCTCAGGAGCACTGGTGCCAAGGAGCACCTTCAGACAGAGTGGAGGAGTGGGGAGGATTTGTGGGCAGGGAAAGGGAAGAGAGGAAGCCCCACCCTGGCATATTAGCAGAAGCCTGGGTTGCCCTGCTTCTGAGCAATGACAGAGTCAATAAACTTGCAGTAAATATTTGTTAAATTAATTATACATGAGGGGGGCTGGAGAGATGGCTCAGAGGTTAAGAGCATTGCCTGCTCTTCCAAAGGTCCTGAGTTCAATTCCCAGGAACCACATGGTGGCTCACAACCATCTGTAATGGGGTCTGGTGCCCTCTTCTGGCCTGCAGGCATACACACAGACAGAATATTGTATACATAATAAATAAATAAATATTTTTTAAAAAATTATACATGAGGAAACTGAGGTACCAGGGTGTTTCAAGCCTCAGCCAGCACTACGACATGGTCTCAGCACCCTTATGCCCATCCAGGCCTCATTCAATATGTCTTCTGGGTCCAACTAACAAAAATAGCTTCCTTCCTTCCTTCCTTCCTTCCTTCCTGCCAAGTTGCATCCTGGCCTTGTTGGTCCCTTTCTCAGAGGTACGT